TTGTATCGGATCAACAAGAAGAAGATCTATCGAGTCAAAGAAATGGCAAGCGTTCAGAGATCAGCTAGCAAAGAGTTATACCCGTACTAGCAACGAGATTGATGTTGTGGCGCAAGACTTGAGTGAAGTTGAAGAACGTGAAGATGCAGAAGATTTAGTAGTATGGTTCGAAGAAAACCCGTACAACGGTACCATATGTTAAGAAGACGTTGGAAGCATCCCAATGCTTTCCATTCCCATCAGCTGAAACAAGCTCTGTTGAATAAACTCTGCCCTGCGTTACAGGCTGAGGCTATGAGATCTGATTGGCGCGAATGGGATTTGGATAGATTTATTCAATTCATCCTAAAGTGCAACGATGATCTGGCAAGAAGAAAACGAAGGAATGCTAAAAGGGTAAATATGATTGCAAATGTAGTACCCATGCGACCAGAACCAAGTATGGCACCAAGGCCGAACTATCCGCCAAGACGTGAGACTCAACCACGATTTTATGAGGTGGGCGATGAAGTTCTCGAGACGCCGCGAGGCACGACACAAGTACCGAAGGGCGTGGACAACAGACAATGCAGATGGTGTAAGTCCCCACAACACACCTCAAGAGATTGTCCTACGAAGCCTTCCTGTACTGTGTGTGGAAAGAAGGGCCATGATGAGAAGAATTGCTATAGGGTGACACGTCAAGGAAAATTAGCTACACAACACATTACGGTCACACGCACGCCACAAGGTATTAGCATGGACTTGAAAGAAGATACTTCGAACCTAGCCGTGCTGGAGAGTTTAGCTAAGTACTTCAACGACTCATGCGATAGGGTAAAAGAGCAGAAGGCTAAGGCCGCAGCTAAGAAGAATGAACCAATGGCGGGTGCGGTCAATGTCGCGTCTGAACAAGAAAGCGGAGGTTTGTATGGGCGTTTTGTTATAGCCGACACGCATGTGACGTGCCTGGTTGATCCTGGTGCTGACAAGAACATCATCAGTTGGCAACAACTACAAACTCTACCGTTGGAATACCGATGTTTATGGCGACCGAATGAAGATGGTGAAATGATGTTGAACTTTATACAAGGCTCATGCGAAGTAGTTGGAACCATTAATCTACCTGTGATTTCACCTTTGGGAAATGTTGAGATGGAGTTCTGCATTGTGAAGGACGCTAGATTAAACATCCTCGGTAATCCGTGGATGCGGACGTTGAGCGCTGCTATTTGTTTCAAGAATGACGAAGTCCGAAATGAAGTTGGCCAACTACCCTTATTTACGGGTGAGATGGTTACCTATGCTGATGTCTTTAGCACTACACAAAGTGTTGTTGATGTCAACATTCTGTCGGACCTAAAACAGAATCTGGGTGAAACTCTCAGTGACGCTACCAAGTCACGGATAGTTGACATTCTGGAGAAATACTCGGAAGCATGGAAGAAGACAAGAGTCGCGTGTTCAAAGAACTTTGTTTACCGTATCGATACTGGTGAGGCTACTCCCATAGTTGAACCTCATCGACATTTCGCGCCGAAGACATTAGAAGAACTGAAGCGTTTGACACGTGAGCTACTTGAGGCTGGGGCTATTCGAAGATCTACTTCAAATTGGCTTTCACAACCAGTCATAGTTGCAAAGAAAGATGGTTCAAGTCGATTATGTGTAGACTTTCGATCATTGAATGCGGTTACGAAATCAGACCCATTTAATGCTCCCGACGCTGCTGCCATAATCCGTCAACTCGGACACTCAAAATTGTTCGTAGTGATGGATCTAAAGAACTCCTTCAATCAGATGAAAATCCATCCTGACGACAGACATAAGACAGCTTTCTGGACTCCACTAGGTCAGATGGAATGGCTTGGAGTACCGTTTGGATTGTTGAATGGAACGTCTGCCCTAGCCCGATGGCTCTACCTGAACGTAATCGACCTTGAAGGCATCGCTGTTTATGTTGATGATATTGTCATTCATGCAGATGATGAATCTACACTACTTAAATACTTTGAAGCCATGATGAAACGTCTATGTGAAATTGGTGCCCATGTTAATGTCGGCAAATGTAAGTTTGGCATAGAAGAGATTGAATTCCTAGGTTTCAACGTAAAGGCAGGGAAGTTAACTCCGCCTGTCGAATCCATCAATGCTATTAATGCGATCAAGGTCCCGCATGATACTACTACCATCCGTCGATTCTTAGGGATGGTTGGGTATTTCAGGAGTTTCATACAAGGTTTTGCTGAAATTGCAGGACCACTCTACGAACTACTTCAAAAAGATACTACTTTCAAGATGACTACTGAAAGACTTAAT